TCAAGAATTTGTAAAAATTAACAGGGAGTAGATAAGAATCAAAGCAGGAAAGGTGTGACAGGGACTTTTTCTCTCTTCATGGATGTAAATAGCACCAAAAATTTTCTGTGGATGCTGAGAGTCAATTTAACTTGCAGTTGACCAAAAAAAAAAAAAAAAAAAGGAAAAGGGTTCCAATCTGAAACATGCGTTTTTGTTATATCACTAATTATTAGTAATAGTGATAGTAACAGCTACCTTGAATTGAGTGTGAATATATTCTGAGTCCTATACTAGGTGTTTAATTTACATTATCCCTTTTTAATTTAATTTAATTTAATTTAATTCTAAAAGGTAGCTATTATGCAAATTGAGATGTTTTTCTGTCTTCAGTATTCTTTCCGTTACAGCGATGGTGTTTTATGTTTCACAAATGTTTCAGCATACATAATCATTTCAACTTTGCAGCTACTGCAACTATTGTGTTGATATCCACCCATCTTACAGATGAGGAAATAGGACTTCACAGAACTTTATTCATCCGTGCGAGGTCATACAGTAGTAACAGAACCAGATCTTTGGACTATAAGTCTCATGCGGTTCTTTGTTATACTTTGCAGAGCAATAAATATAGTGCAAAGGGACAGATAGACATAATATATTTTTCACTTTTCCTTAGTGCTTTTCTTCAGGTTTCTGATTTACGTAAGTGCTTTTTAACTTTGGGGAAAAAATAGCCTAAACCTTGGAATGCTTTAAACTCTAGGTGATAGTTTGCAGTTTAATCGAGCCAGTTAAAAATCAAAGCATGCATCAATTAGAAGTCATTGTTTCCAGGTTTATAAAGTGTTTTGCAGAAGGCAGTCTGGTGAGAGTTCTGAACGGATTGTCTTGTGTTTGATTAAATGGTCCAATGAAAGTCCCCTGAAGCTTGTAGAAAAGAGCCTTTCTTTTCAAACAAACAAACTCCATTGCATTTAGCCAGTCTGGGCAAGAGCCCCTTTGAAAGTCTTGGCTATGAGAAAAGGAGCCAGGGGTCAGGAATCTGGCAAGGCTTAGCTCAGGGTCCTTCACCAACCAGGCTGCAATCAAGGTGTCAGCTGGGTCTGCAATCATCTCGAGGGAGGTTCCGCTGGGAGAGAATCTGCTTCCAGACAGCTGTGGGCAGGATTCAGTTCCTCATGGGTTGTTGGACTGAAAGCCTCAATTCCTTGGTGGCTGTTGACTGGAGACCTTGCTCCGTTTCTTACCACGTGGGCTTCCCCATAAGACAGGGCACAGCACAGCAGCTGGCTTCCATCAGAGTGAGTAAGGAATGCAGGAAGAGAGGATGGGCAAGACGGAAGCCAGAGTCTTTTGTAATCTAATCGTGGAAGTGACATCCCATCATTTTAGCCATGTTCTCTTTTTCAAAACCAAGTCACTAGGTCCAGCCCACACTCAAAAGGAGGGGGTTGTGCAAGACAGGAATACTGGAAAGTGAATATTATTGGCATCATATTAGAAGCTGCCTACCACAGAACTATACCAAAAACTCACTTTTTAGTATTTTAGTAATTGTATATTAACAAAATCAATTTCCTTTATAGACCTAGGTAGTTTATTTTATGCATTTAAAAACACTATTCTGAAAAAGGGTCCATAGATCCCACCAAACTTCCAAAAGGGCACAGAGCTCTAATTTGATTCATTTCAGGTACCTTCAACAACCTAGGAAAATGCGTTTAGAATGGCTTCAACTTAGGAGCTGGAAGTCAAAGCTTTAGCCTGCCCCATGTTATCCTAGTCTGATACCCTAAATTAGTCCATATTACTCATAAAAATAACATGGCACATTTGAAAATATAAATTTGCTATAGAATACACCATAAGCTATTTTGAATGAGTACGTGTGTTGGTGGGAGGGAGGCATATAGGCCTCTATCAGACATGTCTGACCACAATTACAACCTCCAGAGCTCATATATGCCAGTTGCCATTTGAGCCTCAAAATGACCATATGCTACAGGAGGAACTGATTTCCCCAAGAATACACTAATTTCCAGACTACACAGTGATTTTTCTGCTATCAAGCTATGTATGAGAAAGCAGAGATTGTAAAAAGAGAAGTGATGTTATGATTCTTCCCTAAGTCTTTGTCATGTGTCACCTGCTCTTGGTGAAACTAAAGATAATGGTTGGCATCTCTGAATTACATTTTCTGCAAGCACAGTACCAACTTTGTGTATTGTCTTAATAGTCTAAAAGTTAAAGGAATTTTATAAAATCTCCAATATTCAGACAGAAGATAAATTTGTCAACAATAATTGGGAATGATTCTCTTATTCAACCTGCCCAGTAAATTTTCTCCCCAAAGTCAAATGCATCAAATTCCAAAAGCCGTACTACAGGGAGGTGATTTTCCTCATAGTTCTCTAATCCTAAATAAGTGCCCAGTATTGTCAGTTATTTTAGGTTTTCCAAGATAAGTCAGACAAGTTTTTCATGTATGCCGC